TACAGGAGATGTCGATGGATTGCCCGAAGCTTGGGATATGGAAGAAATTACACTCATTTTTAAAAAGCACGAGTGTCGCATGTTAAACGGCTATAAATCCCGGGAGGACAGAAGACTCCAAAATGAGAAGAGCATCTTCTTGCCACCCCTCCTGGACTCCGAGACCACTAACTCCTTTCACTGTTTCTTCTGGCAGTTACCAAAGTCTCTCAAAAAAAGAGGCTTTGCTGCTATTTCTTTTTTTTAGCAACTATGGCTGTGACCTCTGCCTTCCCGCTCTGTGTTTAAAGATGGTAATGAGTTCACTTAGGAGAAATTGGCTGGTTCCCGTGTGCAAGGGGGACACTTTAGAACATGACCCAAATGGTTCCCACTTACCCCTGTTGTGTAATGGTCACACAGTGTGTATATTTTAAATGGGCACTTGGTTCTCCAGAGGGTGCCAGTGCATTGTGCGGGCATCATTCAACCCTCCCTCGGCCCCTCCGCCAGCTTCCCCAGGAGATTTCTCTCCGTCCTCCGCGGGTTCCATCTGTGCCCTTAAGTCCTGCCTCTTTGCTCTCGGTGCGCCTTCCTTCGACTCTCACCGTGCTCGCGTCGGTTGACTCTCCACTCTGTCAGAGGAGCTGGTTGGCTCCCCACCCTTCCGTCGTGCCAGTCACCAGGCCCATCTGGGGTGGGATTTGTGACCTGCAAAAGTTGGGGGTGAGGGTGGGGAAGGCATTTCTGGGGCAGGAAAAAGAAGAAGAAAACCAGGAGGAGGAGGAAGGAAGAGCTGAGTTGATAGGGAGGCTGTGTGGCTGAGAGATGAGCTGGCGGCCAGGCGAGGCTGGACTGTCCAGGGGAGAGTTTTGTGCTTTGCAAGGTGCAGGCAATGGAGCCACCAGCTCACAGGTGGAAGATAGAGAGGTAGAGTTCAGGTGGAAGGAGGGCAAGAAAGAGGGAAAGCAGGGGAGGATGGGGAGAGAGGAGAGGAGGAGAAGGAGGGGGAGGACATGGGAGAGAGCACAGTTGGGAGGCAGGAGGTGGCTGCAGTCTGAAGCACGGTGACACACCCTTGGCGTGGGTGGTGGCAGCGGGAATAGCAAGGCATCATTGCGACACTGCAGACGTCCTCGTCTTGCCAATCTCCCATGAAAGGCCAGGTGCTGAGGGATGGGCCTCACCTGATCCCAGGACGGGCGCAGAGCCAGCTGACAGGAGTGCCTGAAGGTGGAAGGGACTCTGCTAGCTTCTCAGGAGCAGCCTTTGTTGTTATTAGACCCATTCATGTTATTTTTTTCTTTTTGGCACTTTACGAGTTGTGTGTGTATGTGCATCTGACGCAGGGAGAAGTCAGGGCTGAAAGCAGACTGTGGCGTTTAAGGCTCAAAGCCCCTACCTGTGAAGCGTAGGGGCTGCAAGAGCTGGCATTTTGGAAGCCCACACGGGGGAGGTCTGGCTCTCAGCACCCGGCACCTGCGTGGGCCATTGGCCCTCATCTCTCAACACCTGCCTTCTCTTTTCAATCTCATAGGATCGCTATGGAACAATGAACGCTAACATCTCTAGGGCGCTTGCTGAGGGCTGGGCGAGGTTCTGTGCCTGGACTCCCGATACCAGCCGACCCAGTCCTCTCACCAACTCTAACAGAGAAATCACGCCCCCACACTTTACAGAAGAGGGAGCCGAAGCTCGAGAGATGGAGTTACTTACCCGCAGTCACATAGCTCAGAGTTCCATGCCCGAGCTCTTCATGTGCTCACCTTTTTAACTACACTCCTACTGGCCAACTTCTAAAGGGGTAGTAAGAATTTGTGAGGTAATGTCTGTGACAAGCATTAAAACCTTCGGGGTGGCCCGGTGGCATAGTGGTTGAGCTTGCACAGTCTGCTTCAGTGGCCCAGGGTTCACAGGTTCAGATCCCAGGCGTGGACCTGGCACTGCTTGTCAGGCCACGCTGTGGCAGTGTCCCACATAAAATATAGGAAGATTGGCACAGATGTTAGCTCAGTGACAATCTTCCTCACCCACCCACCCCCAAACAGAAAAAATAAAATATTCAAGTGAACTTGCACATGAGAATTTACAGCAGTTTTATTCATAACTGCCAGAACTTGGAAGCAATCATGATGTCCCTCAGTGGGTAAATGCATGAACAAGCTGTGGTGCAGCCAGACAGTGGAATATTACTCAGCACTGATAAGACATGAGCTGTCAATCCCTAAAAAGACGTAGAGGAGCCTTAAATGCACATCACTAAGTGAGAGAAGCCAATCCAAAAAGGCCACGTGCTGTATGACTCCCACTCTGTGGCATTTTGGAAAACACAAAACTATGGGGACTGTGAAAAGATCAGTGGTTGCCAAGGGTGAGAGTGGGGAGGGGCGACCAGGCAGAGCACAGAGGATTTGCAGGGCAGCGAAGTTATTCTGTATGATCCTATAATGGTGAATACATGTAATTATACCTTTGCCTAAATCCACAGAACGTCCAACACCAAGAGTGAACCCTAATGTAAACCGTGACCTTCGGGGGGATCTTAGTCAGCTCCGGCTGCTGCAACAAAAACACCACAGACGGGGCGACTTAGACAGGAAACATTTATTTCTCACAGTTTTGGAGGCTGGAAGTCCAAGATCAAGGTGCTGACCGATTCAGTATCTGGTGAGGGCCTGCTTCCTCGTTCACAGACGGCTGTCTTCTTGCTGTGTCCCCACACGGTGGAGTGGGGAGGGAGATCCCTGGGGGCCCTTTTATAAGGGCAATAATCCCACTCACAAGGGCTCTGCTCTCATGACCCGGTCACCTCCCAAAGGCCCCATCTCCTAGCAGCATCACATGGGGATTGGGTTTCACCGCAGGAATTTTGGGAGGACACAAACACTCAGTCCACGGCGATAACGATGTGTCAGTGTAACGATGCTGATACTGGGAGAGGTTGTGTGTGGGGCACCAGGGGGTGTATGGGAACTCTCTGTACCTTCTTTTCAATTTTGCTGTGAACCTAAAACTGCTCTAAACAATAAAGTCTATTAAAAAAAATCCTCAAGCGACCCAATGCAAATTTACATATAAGATGGAGTTTGAAGCATGTAGGTGAACATTCTAAAACATCTTTTACAAAAGAGCCAGCCAATTCTTCTAAGCGAGCTCTTTCATAACTATTTATTCTTTTAAGCACCAAGGCATCTGGGGCGCTTCTAACTGGGAAACACGGTGTGAAGGAACTAAAGGGACATCCTTCCTTCTGGCACCATCTGCTTTCTAGCATCGCCACTGGGGAGACCGTCCCGTGTCTCATTACCATCTGGGGGCCTTGGCTGTTGGTTAGCGTCCCAGTCACTGCTCTGAGCACAGTGAGCCCTGCACACGTTTCCGCTGCCTGGGCCAGGTCCACTTGCATGACATGCTCTGCACAGATCTCCCATGCTTCCCTGAAAGTGGGAACGAACACCAACCCCTCTGAGAGATTTTACTTTATAACCTCTACCGTCCAAAGTGATGCTTTGTACTCCTTTTGCGAGCCTGGTAAAAGACACTCTCATGCAGTACTAAGGCCCCTTAATGTGTTTATGTGTTAATGCTACGGAGACCACATAGGAACGTAGAATTGTGACCAGGAGCCACACGATTTGCAATGAAGCCCATTGGGGTTACGTCATGCTCTGCCCCTTCCCAGCTGGGTGACCTCAGGTGAGGTTCTTTAACATCCTGAGTCTGTTTGTTCCCTCTTCTCTAGAATGCCAGTCACACTTGCGCCTGAGGTTGTTGTGGGGATTATATTCAGATAAGACTTCTAAGGAACTTAGCCCAGTGCCTGACACATTAGTAGCCTTGTTTATTATGGTCATTAATTACGTTCCATCTGATGAAGACAAAGGGCATAGGATCAGCTCCTGAGACCCTGAATAAGTCCCTGGAACACCCAGAAACTCATTTGCAGTACCTGTAAAGCAGGTATTAAAATGCTTTGTCTAGGGCCAGCCTCAGTGGCCTAGAGGTTAAGTTCCATGCCCTCTGCCCCACTTCAGTGACACAGGTTCAGTTCGCCACATGGACCTACACCGCTGGTCAGTGGCCATGCTGTGGTGGTGGCCCACATACAAAATAGAGGAAGATGTGCAGCAGATGTTAGCTCAGGGCGAATCTTTGTCTATTTCACACGTTTGCCGGGAGGATGTATAAAGTATCGGATATCTAACTTTGGAAAGTAGGTACCACTTCTTGAGCCCTTATGACACACTAGGCTCATTGTTAGGCTATGCAATCACACATTAGGGAGTGGGTACTAGTGGCTTGGTTTCCCACCCCTCCTTTTGTGGTGGTGGAGGGGTCATCTTCCTAAGGCTTGAATGCTCCGCCAAACATCCTCCCGCTAGATTAGAGCCAGGGGAAGGCATGGACTTGGTTGTCCGTTCAGCCCCGTCTCTTCCAGCCGCCCTTAGGTTACATCCGGTGTGTTGAGCGCATGAGAGAACAAATGAATGAATGATGCAGCCGAACAAACTCAGGCGGCCACGTTCCTTCGGTCTCTAGGAGATCCAGAGGCCAAATCCACGGCAAAATCTAACGGGTGTGAGCTCAAAGTGCGGCCTCGGAGCCGCAGAGGACTCACCCAGGAGCGGGGCTGGGTGGGACTCCAGACCCAGTGAATCCCAGCAACCTGACATTTCAAACTGGTACCCCCGGCTGAGTCGGACACACACCCAGGTGTGAGCACCTGAGTGTCTGCAGGGTCTCAGAGGAGAGAAATCTCCTCCTGGAGGAGCAATCAAGGCCGGCCTCCCGGAGGCGGCCTCTGCGGACCACAAGAGGGGTGGGTTGCGTTGGAATTGGCAGAGGGCTCCGAGAGGCCAGGGGCGTGCTCACTTCGGTAGCCCCGGAGCCCGGCAAATGGGCAAGGCAGGGGCAACACGGACTCGCCCCATAAACAAGCCACAGGCCTGGAAGCCGCAGGAGTCTTTCCGCGTACCTCCCTCCTCCAGGCCCGCGGCGTCGCACGCGCATGCGCGCCCTGGCCGGTCTGCAGTGGGCCTCCCAGGGCACATGACCGCCACCCTCCCGGCCAGCGCGCAGGCGCGGGGAGAGCGCAGGCGTGTGACGTCACTGAGCGCCGGACTCCGCCCCTGGAGGCGTCGCGCACTGGCGGCGTCGTCATGGAGCTGAGTGCGGGTGAGAGGTCGCCGGGGATGGAGGGAGGTCGCCGGAGAGACTGGGGTGGCGCCGGGGAGCCCTGGAGAAGGACGGGGGCTACAGCAGGGCCGCCGGGGGCGGGCGGGCGGCGCGGAGGGGTCTGGGTGGGGTTCGGAGTGGAACTGGCGGCGGACTTGGACCCAGTTGCTCGACCGTGTCGGTGGGTTAAAAATAGTGGGTGAAGAGGAGGGAAGGCCACCTCTGGGCACGTGGTGGCGTCCGTGAGCCCCCGTGCCAATCGTCATAACTACCCCGGGGGATCTGTACTCCTGCATCATCCCCATCTGACAGCAGGGGAAACTGAGGCTCCCGGCTGCTGGCCGAGGCAGGACTGGAAACCAGTTTAACGGGGTCTTCGCTACTGTGCTCTTAAATGCTTCCCGGGCCTCGGCTGTACCGGGGCCTGTCCCAGGCGCTGGGAAGCTCGCCCCGAGCCCCGGGGCTCTAGGTCACCCTCTAGTGGAGAAGAGCTTTGGTGACTGATTGCCTGGCAAGGAGAATCCTGCTAGGGCCCTTGATGCGCCAGGCTCTGTTAAAGCCAAGTTCCAGAGCCAGGAGGAAGTCCACTCCTGCCCTTCCCACATGTGTGGCATGTAACAAGCCCATGATACCGTGGGATGATAACACAGACCCGCGGAGCGCCAGCACTGGGCTCAGAGCTAGAGGTAGAAGGATGAATGGGACCCGAGCTGACCCGACAGGCCCAGAGCCGGTGGAGGGGAGTAAAGAGGCCGTTACAGAACAGGGTTCAGGCATTTCACACATTAATATACGTCGCCTTTTGTTATCCTCATCATTCCCCATGTTTTCCTAACTTTCCAAGGGCAGGGACCTGCCGTTTTTTTTGCCCTCTCCCCTTCCAATTAGCCCGTTGCTTTCTAAATGGGAGTCGCTTAAATGTTTGTGATTAATGGACTCTCCAGAGCAACGGCCACCATTTCTACATTTCTTGTGTCCCACACAGTATCCTGCACAGTGTTGGGGATGTTGTACGACCTATGGGTTGTTAGTGAAAGTGATAAGTGTAAAAACCTTAAATAGTTGTGCCAGTGTAATTGTTTCTGTTTGAAAAAAATCAAACAGATAGGGAGGGTGCCCTGGGTTCCTAAAGAAGGGGCATCTGTCTGCGACTAAGCACTCAGATAATGTTTCCCCGGGGAGGGAGAGAAGGGCTGGACCAGGAAGGAGAGGAGAGGAGGTCCAAAGGGGGCTCTCCTAAGGGAGAGAGAGAGGTGGGCAGGTGTGTGGGGCAGGAACCAATAGTGGTTGAGCCACTTTTTGCATTCGAGGTGAGGGTGATGGGAGATAAGGCTGAAGTGGCCAGCAGGGCTTTCCAGCTCATTGTGTACCCTGTGACAGAGGGATCCACAGGGCACTGGAGCAGAATGGAGGGGAGACTTCCTGGAGGTGGTGCCCAAGCTGGGCCTTGAGGAGTGAGGGTTTGCTGGAGGGACAGAGAGCCAAGCCGACTTTCCAGTAGAGAACAGCAAGCGGAGAGCTCCCAGCAGGAAAGAATAAGCCAAGTGCTGGAAACTGCCTGTGTGGCCCTACCCACGCTGACACAGTGTAATCTCAGCCTGCATCGTTGGAGACGGGCATTCCCTGAGCACGGCCCCATCTGCAGTTTTGATTTCTGGAGTGGTTCAGAAGCACAGCTAGGGTCAAGAGGCACCAGTCGTGCTGCAGTGGCCTCCAGGAGGCCCTGAGCCTGACTGTGAGGGGCCTTGTCTGCACACTGCCGAGGGCATTAGGTCTAGCTGGGGGCCTCAGCAGCAGAAACTTTTAGCTGTGGCCCTTACACCTTAAAACTATGCATAGAGGTTTAACAAATTGATATCAATGGGCGGGGGCGGGGCGGTAGACTATGCATCAGTGACAAAAGGGGCTGCCTGAGCACAATTTGACCTGTCCTTTAGGGGAGCACTGTGCATCTGCAGAGGGCAGAGGGTGCTTCGTACTGAATGGACTCCTCTGCAAAATAGTAACTAAAAGCAACAGCCAAGTGCAGAGCAGTGGGTAGCTGCGTGTATAGTGCCCGACCTTAGGGAGAGAGCAGGCGGGTGAGAACCCCGTCTCCTGGGTGAAGCCCGAGCTCCCTGGGGAGGAATTCACAGCACTAACGGGCGCACGGATTGCCTGGGGGGAAGGGACCTGGGACCTGGCAGACAGCAAGCAGAGAGGGTTTTCATTGTAGATCTGTTTGTTTGTTTTAAAAATCCATTTACAAAGAATTAAGCTTTTAGAATGTAATTTATTTACATGATTCAAAGCCACACAATTCAGAAATGTTCACGGTGAGGAGCCGCCTCCCAGCCCCTGCCACCTCCCATCCCCGCGACTCCGGTTCTCTCTGGCCGTGGGGCTGCGCCCTTGTGTCACTTTTGAGCAGCCTCCACTCATTTAACGGAGACTGAGGACCTGAGGGGTTAAAGCTGCCCCTCCCTGCTCGGTGATGAGAGGTCCCCCAGCCACACACCCGGTGGGGAGAACCTCATGTTCGCGATCGGTGTGTTCAGTTATGGCGAGCACCGTCTGAGTTCTCTGAACAGAAGAGGTCGACCTGCAGCTCCCAGCCTCAGAGATGCACACGCTCTCAGCACAGTGTGTGTGTCGCCTGCGGAGGCTCCCGGATAGCGTAGGGTACATAGCCCTCTTCAGCCTGAGTTACGTTTGGGCACTGAATCTCCTGCCAGGTTGGGAGGAAAAGTATTCCAGCGAATGAGATTACCACATGAAATTCCCTGCTTCGTAATTCACAATGCTGGCCGTATAGGAAGTTGTTATGAAAATAAATCAAGTAGTTGATATGAGAGTGATTTGAAACAAACTTCTGTACAAGTACAAGGATAGCCTTTTGGACCAACTAAAAGACTCAGTGAACATTTTTAAATGTTTCTATGTGAATGTGCTGGTTTTGTGTTTTTTCTAGTTAAATGGAAAATGCTTTTTATATTTCTCTACTCCAAGAGGAGTACATAATTACTGCAGATTTTATTAGGACTGCCCTCGTCAAATAATACTAAAGTATATTTGTCACCTAAAACTGCGTTTCCAAAGTTGAGTATAGAATAGAAGATTCCCACCCTAATGAAGGAGATCATGGGTGGCAATCCGAAATAATGACCGGCCTGCAAATCACTTAGGGCTCGGACAGGCTTGCTGGATTGACAGCAGACGTCAGCTAATTGTAGCTGTCCCCAGACTAAATAGACTGAGTGTGAGAGGACAGAACTCGAGTCTCGGAGGGAGGGCTCTAGGCGTGCTTGCGTATGTGGTTTGGGTTGCATTTTGTTCTCATATTGCTACAGGCCAGTAGAACTAGGTTAAACACTTGGACTCTGTTGAATTTACTCTGTTTTTGGACTTGAGCAGTTTGTCGTGAGTGTAAGAGTACTCACTAGCCCCGATTTTCCCACGCAGACACGAGAAGTCCTAGATTCTGGTCTGGCGTGGCAGGGCTGAGGGGGCAGCAGGAGCAGGCCCGTGATAGGCCCCGGGACTGCCTGTGCTATGGGAGTCCTTTCTGCTGTATTAATCAGGCGCACCGTTTCTTGCAATAGGTGTTTCCAAACAGGACATTCGTGAGCAGATTTGGGACTACATGGAATCACAAAATCTAGCTGACTTTCCCCGGCCTGTTCATCACAGGATTCCCAACTTCAAGGTACTGAAGCGTTCCTGGAGCGTTGGAAAGGAAGCCGGGACATTCCTAAATGAGCGACATTAGTAATACAGTTCCGTCCTGCTTCATGGTGCATTTGAATTCGGTGGATGGGGAGTGGTGGCGTGAAATCCAAACCAGCTGGCCGGGGCGTTTTTGTGCTTCCAGACGTCCCTCGTGTTACTCGATCGTCACTCGCAGAGTCTCTTACTTTTCTGTGCAGGGTGGGTTCTGTCTTGCCACGAAGTGGTGCAAAGCCCACTGGTCGCCAGTCAATGCAGAGTGAGATATTTATCCTGGCTGGAAGCATGTCATTGTGCCTTTTCACAAAATTGGCTCCCTAAAAGCGGTGAGGAGTGATGCGGGCCCAGAGGGAGGCCCCGCTGCCGGCGCCTTTGGGCAGAGAGGCAGGCCTCGCTAGGCCCTGCCAGCTCCGGGCCTCAGTTTCCCTACTGTTCAGAACAGAAGACAATCAAAGATGTCTGTCTGTGATGCTATTCATAGAAAAAAGTTTGCTCAAAATTGGCAACACAAGACAACTCATGGTCTTCGACATGCACGCTTTCCACGAGAAAAAGAAAGTGCTTGTTGACAATACACCGACGGCCCCGTCAGGCTTGAGGACGTTTGCCATCACCCTCTCCACTTGGGCTGGGCTCTCCCCGCGCCTGGCTTCTCAGAAGCAAACCCCAGCCGGTCTCTGGTCCTCAGCTGAGCTGGTCCAGGGGCCATCCTGTCCCTTTGAAACACCTGTTTTTGTATGGTTTTTGTTGCTACTTTGTTTTGTTTCTGTGCTTGTTACCTCAGGGAGAGAAATGTACATGAAGTACAGGGAAAACAGGAAAGATGCACAGAATTAGTAAAAAAATCTTTAAAAAGGCGTCAACTAGGAGAAGGACGGGGGTTCTGGGTTAGTGGGAATAAGCTATTTCTTGATTTAGGCGGTGGTTACGCAAGTGTGTTCATTTTGTGAAAATTCATCAAACCGTACACCCATGATTTGTACACTTTTTGTGAAGTGTGTTTTATTTCAGTAAAAAATAAACTGGGGCTCGGCTAGCTTTCTCAGCCCCTTTCTCCCCTGCCTGCTTTCTTAGACGTTTCTGGGTGGCTCTTCAGTCTCGTCTCAGTAGCGCGCCCTGCCTGGCTGGGTGGGATACAGGACCAAACTGCTCAGGCTGCACTTGGCCCACCATCATGTTGTCCCCTCAGTAACTTGCAATTGCCTTTAAAAACAGGGTGCTCCTCGTGCTGCCGAGCATTTCCCACGCTTGCAGGCGTTCAAAATGGCCAGAACCATTAAAGTCAATCCTGATGCTCCCCAGAAAAATGCTCGCTTCCTCGTCCTCGACGTAAGTGCCACTCTTTCTCTTTGCCTAACCAGGGCTCTTATCTGGCTTGCCAAAACATCAAAGACCTAGAAGTTTTTGCCAGAATGCAGGAAGTTAAAGTGGACCCTGATAAACCGCTGGAAGGTGTTCGGCTGCTGGCGCTGCAGGTAATCTTCCTTCCCTGGGCTGGAGCCCGGGCTCCTGCCGGACCGCGTCCTCCAGGTGGCTGGCAGTGCGTGCGGTCCTGCATTTAGAAGGCTGGGGCTTCCAGGAACAGTGCTGCGGTCTTTCGGTTGTTAGCAGTCAGTCAGTCAGAAGTCCTGACTATTTCTAGATTCAAAGACAAATGACATTCAAAGTGATGACACCGAGGCGTTCTCACCTCTGATGCGCTTCATCGGAAGAGAAAGGTTGCAATGTTTATTTCCTTCTGCTGCCTTTGTAATATAATTCTTTGAAACTTGATGATCCATGGTTTGATAAATGAGTCCCCAAAATATATAAATTAAAACAGTGTTTCTTATATATGTAGGCCCCTTTTCAAGAAAAAAAGAATTCCCCTAGGGTTGCTTTAAATTAATTTGTTACAATTTAATTTAATAATTATAAACGTAAAACTGGGTATAAATTTTAATGCTCGTAGCTCTTTTGCACCTATACAATCAAAATAAGCATATAAATTAAATATAAACAAAACGATGAAAGCAATAACATCCAAATAACAGCACTGATTTAATCTGAGGGCTGGTGTTCTTTTGCTGAAACAAATCACTGCTGATACTGGGGACCTGCTGCTGAATGTAGCCATGCAGGATCTTTGCAGTTCTGCCTGTGCTGCCACAGCTTGCGTGGTGACCCGGTTCTCGCAGACTCCTGAGGAGCTGTGGTCACGCGGCGCCTTTCGTCCTGCTTGGCGAAGTAAATAAGTCAGAAAAGAACTGAACAGGGAATGAGGGGCGCTGGGGTCGTGTTCTGGGTCTTTGAACTGTCTTCTGTAGGAGATCGTTTGCTAATAGTGGTTCAGCCCCAAGAGAGGCCTCCTGTTTAGGCTCTTCTGGAAGCATTCTTTCTTGCCACCTTCATTTTCCCAGTCAGGAAATCACTTTGATGAACTAGAGAAGGCCCCGCAGTGAGCAAGTGAGCAGTTACTGTGTGTGAGGCACTGTTCCAGCGAAACACTTCCCTGTGTTACTCCATTTAACTCTACCAACAACCCCTAAGAGTGATCTCCATGCCCTTATGACTTTGAAGAAACCAGACACGGAGAGGGCAAGTGTCTGGGCCAAGCCACACGTCAGGAATGGTGGAGCCGAGATTCTGACCCACCACGTGACTCCAGAACCTGCTCCCCTCATGTGTGAGGGTCAGGGCGTTCTTACCTCGCAGCCCCTCAGAGCGCAAACTCAAAGGCCTCAAATGTGCTAGAGATTAGGTCAAGGCAGCCTGTCAGGGGAGTGCGGCCAGGTGGCAGGATGCAGTAGCCGAGACCTCACCGTTGCTTCATTTATTCCGGGAAGTCAGCAGCTGAGCTGTGCAGGATCTGCGTGTCCCAGGTCTGCGCCGGGCACGGGGATGTGCTGGTGGAAACGCAGAGACGTGTGCTCCCTGCACTTTAGGGCCACGGGCTTCTCAGTGCTTTCTGGAAACTAGTGGGTCAAGAATCACCTGGGAAGCAGGTGAACCTGCAGCTGCCTCAGCTCTACCTGACTGCAGGCAGGGACGGGGATGCACATGGCACAGCCCACACCTGGGGACACCATGGCCTGTGCTTGGGGTTGCACAACTTCCCAGACTCAACCCCAGACCTTGCATTGGTTGCTAGAGTCCATTTTTAATAAACACTCGATGGTCCTTTGGGAAGCACTGTCCTGGGCAGGGTAGCATCTGCCAACCCTGGCTGCATGTTGGGCCCCCCGCCACGGAGCTTGGACACCTCTCTGCTGCGAAGGTCAGGTTCTGAATCAGAGGCTCTGAGGGTCTGGACCTCAGTAGGTCTTAAAGCTCCCCAGGTGATTCCAATGAATGACTAGGGCTGAGAGCCCCTGAGCCGGAGGTGAGCGGCTGCCAGCAAAGAGGGAGTAATGGGAATAATCCCCTGTCCGCCAGAGTCTGGAGGCTGCAGGTGGAATGAGCCCAAGCTCTTTAGTACCCAAAGGAAATAGCACGCAGTCGTGGCTCGTGTCACATACTCTTCCTTGTGGTTGCAAACCTTTAAGGAAGCCAGACTGTGATTGTATAGGCCTTTTGTTATCTCAGGCTGTCATCTCCTGCACAAAAACTAAAACAGACTATTTTTCACATGAAATATTTTATAAATTTTATGATTGCCTCACGGCCTACCCCTGTATAATCTACAGAGACACCCTTGGGCAGTGGTTCTCAGCCTTTCCTGTGCGGCAGAATCACTCTGTGGGCTTATTAAAGCGCAGTGCTGGGCCCCAGCCCCAGAGCCTCGGATGATTTCTAACCAGGGCCCAGGGGCTGCTGATGCTGCTGCCCGGGGCACCCACTGTGAGAGTCCCCGCTCTGGGACTCACAGTGAGGCACCTGAGAGATAAAAAGAAGAAAAGAGCTGTTGACGCAGGTCGGTGTTAAATATTGATTGCAATGAGTACAATCGAGTTTGAATGGCAAACTAGATAGAAATGATGGAATAACATTTTAAATGTAGCTGTGCCGTGTCGGTTTCAAATTAAAACATCGAAACTGTGTAGGGCTTAATGCTGAGAACAGGCGCCCCAGGAAAGTTATGGTTGGAATCTCTATGAGAACAGATCTTTCTTTGGATTTGCATTATCATTTTGTACCTATAACGATTTTGAACAGCAAGTAAATTAGAATTAGCAACTTTAACGAACGCCCTGCCTCTTCATCCTAAGGCAGGGTAGAATTGTGGCTCTAAGTATACTTGACCCCCACATATTGTTTAATTGGATTTGCAAACAGGTCATTTCCTTGGCACACACCAGAAAATGCAGATAACAGTAACTTGTTTCCATTCCTGAAACGTTAAAAACATAGACACGAAAGTACTGCTTCATTTTGTAATTTATTGATTGTCTTTCTTTTAAAAGAGCAGAAAAACATTGTTGGTTCCAACACCACGACTGAGAACGGGATTGTTTAATAAGATCACACCACCCCCTGGGGCAACTAAAGACATCTTGAGAAAATGTGCCACCTCTCAGGTAAGTGCGAGAAGCAGCAGCACCCACGAGGAAGGAACTGTTCCCATCTGAGACTTCTGGTGAGTTAGAATCACGTAAAATCCCCCACAAGGTTGGAATCTATGTTAATAAAGCCAAATGAAAAGAGACGGTAAACTATTCAGCAATCCCGACGTTAAAGGAGTAAAAACAATGTGAGTACATGTATTCTGTTTGTGTAACTCAGTGTGACTTTCTATTTTGCACCAAGTTGGAAAATCTAAAATTTCCTCTTGGAAAAAAAGAAAAACAAGTCGTCTGGTGCTGTGGTGCCCTCTAGCGGTAACCTGCGACATCGCCCTGGCGCCCTATGGCCTTTTCTTGAATGCCACCAGAGCAGTTGGGGACACAGTAAAATTTCTAAGATGTGTTCCACTGGAAATTGCCTCACCAGTTCTAAAGTGATAATGGCTTTAGCAATTTAGTAATGTGACTTTATTGAGTGCCTCACGATGTCGTAAAACCAAAATGTGTAAACATTACACGGAGGTGCATTATAATGGACTCTCCTTGTACTTTACAGATAAAGAAGTAGAATTTGATGACTTTTTTCAGAGTCCTAATCTACTGGGAATAAAAAATAGGGCATTGACATATTCTCTTTTTTTTAAAGTGATTTTCTACTTAAGTTTGATGAATAAAAGTTGAATATTTTATTACTTATTGATAACCTGTCTTATTCCAAAAATAGAATTTGAAGTGGCTTACAAAATGCGTATAATAAAGTAAAATAATAAAATATAGGAAAAAGAGCAAAGGGAAAATAAAGGTAGAAAACTAGGAGACAAGCGTGATTCTGGTCAGTGTTCAGAAATGTAAAGTGTGTGCCCCTCTGCAGTCGGCGGACGTGGGCCCCAGATTGGAGCCCACATCTCCTAGTGCCAGCAGGAGTGTGAGCAGTGATAAAGCGTAGGTCTCAGACAGTCAGAGCAGGCCTTTTCCTGGGATTGTGGTCCAGGTCAGATACACCCATGGTGCTCGTGTGGTGGCCTGTGTCACCCTTACCAGCGTCTCTGCACCCCCTGCCCCGCCCGAAAGGTGGCTGCTGCACTGCTGGTTGCCAGGAGTGCCCTGTGAAGCTGTGGCACGGGCTGGTCCCTCCTGGGTGCTCCTCACAGTGTGGCCAGGCCCAGGGTGATGCCAGACCAGCTCTCACAACTGAGCTTGTGGTGGGACTGAACGGCAGCTTTTGGCGTTTTATAACATGAGATCCTCATCAAAATCAGAGATCCAGAGACGTGAACCTCAAAGGGATTTTTGTTCTCGAGGACTTTCGAGCCAAGGACTGTTGGGGGTCCCCTTACTAATCACACCTACTGCTCCTCTAAGTGACTTGTCACACACTTGTAGACAGGGCCCCGTACCACAGCCGGTGACCTGCTACTGCCAGGTCCTGGTCCCTACAGTGCCCTGATCTGCTTTCCTAGATTTACCGGTACCCTCCTTATCTGAGAATCAGACCCCGTCAGCGCCCGAGTCTTTAAATACAGGCGTCCAGTAGTTAGTGTAAGTAGGTGCGCTTTTGGTGCATTTTGGTTGAATAAGCAATATTTCAGAAGGGATATGCTGTACGTGAAAATAATGGCCTCCAGGATTTCATACGCAATGCAGGTGTCACACCCAGTTACTGACCGTGTCTGACATGCCAGATGCGTTACCTCTGCTCTCTCGTTTCGTTCCCACAGCAGTCCTGAGGAAACTGAGGTCAGAGGGCTAGGAGGGACCTGGACCCAGTTCCGTGGGACTCCCGAGCCTGTGTTCTCACCACTATTTGACTGCCCATGAGAAAAAAATAATTCCCTAAATTTTAGGAAATTAATATCCTGTTCAGCAGTGCTGTCGGGTCCTCCTGGCCTCTTTCCTGGGGAAGCAGTTGGGGAATTATTCTCCCACGGGCTCTGAGCCCTGGGCTCCCTGCGGTGCCTCTCCACAGCACCTCGTGTTTGCTGTAAGGCCTGCTAGTCCTTGCTCCATGCAGGAGCTGCTGCAGACCCCGAGTGCTCCTCCCCGAGCGTGAGGAGGGGGTCGCCGCTTGCTGCCGGCAGGCTCTCAGGCCGCCGTCTGTGTTGACAGGGCGTGAGGAGCTTCAGCACTCCCGTGGGCTTGGACGCCAGGGTCCAGGTGGACTTGGTTGTGGTGGGGTCCGTGGCTGTTTCTGAGAAAGGTAAGATTCAACATGGGAATCCTCGGGTGTGATCGCTTTCCCTGCAGCTTGCTGTCCCCCACCCTTCTTGTCTTTTGGGCGTGGACGGTAAGTCATCTCGCTTTCTGGACACGTGCCTGGCCCCCGCCGCTGCCCCTCTCATTCACTTGGGAGAATGGACCCAGGCCTTCCCATTCCCGGCCCTGTGAGCACCGCTCCCGTGTTTGCGCTGTCCTTCACAGGACAGATAAAGGGAAGTAAGCGCTCTTCAGCTGGTGAGAGCTTTTCCCTCTGGTCTTACGTTAACTGGAGCTGAGTGCACTGCGGTATGTCCGTAAATAGTGGGTTTTGGAGCGCTCCAGTTACACGGAGAGACCTTGGTTCTAAGCTTTGTCTTTGTGATGAAGCAGCAGCCTCCTGGACAGCACGGTGCCCCGGGCCTGCCTGAAGGCCTGGCGCTCTGCTGAGCCGCCCTCGGGACCGGGCCCCTGTGGCCCTCGTCCCCGTCCTCACTGCTCTGCCCCAGCCCCGGCTGGGTGCTCTTTGAGAACAGTCTGCGTATGCTGCAGCGGGAGCAGCGGGCTCCGGTGGGATCAGCCCATCTCAGACCTGCGCTTGGACCCTGTCCTTTGGGCCCCCTGGGGAAGCGTCCTCGCCTCCCGTCCTTCCCAGAGAAAAAGGCGAGAACTGTCCGAAGACGCTCGTCCCCAAAACTCTCTGTGAAAATTAGTCGGCCACAGCCCAGTTCTGCCTTCAAGAGAGGTTCCCGGGAAATAGTTGGAGAGAGATGCTCTAAGTCGTTCGATCCAAACCCTGAGCGCCGTGTTTTTAAATGCTGGCCTTTAGTATCTTCACCTTCAATTTACTCTTTTCCCCACCCTCGCTCTGGCTCGTGTGTGAGATGTTATAGTTCTTAATCTTTTCTTTCCGTGTACTCTCAGTTACACATGCTTTATGTGTGTCATCAGGGCTGGGTACACATGGGCACACTTTTCCTGTGTGCCAGGCGGACACTGCGTGTCTCTGCCTTGGGCCCACAGTGAGTGGAGGAGCCGACAGGATAGCTGAACTATGAGTCGACATGCTTGGCGCTAGAAACAGAAGTCAGAATGTACTTTAGCGGGCTCGGAGGAGCGACCCGCAAGCCTGGAGCATCATCTCAGAGGTGACCTCAGGGCTCCGTCTCGTGCTGGGTGTTTTCAGGGCAGGTGGCGCAGGAGAGTGAGAAGGAGCAGTGTGGTCATGTAGCTTGACCCTTTGGTGGCTGGGGCTGCCTTTCCAGAGGCCTTGAGGCCCAGTGAAGGGGTTTGGGCTATTCTCTTTGGGCTATGGAAATTAGCAAAGATTTCTTCTTTTGAAAGATCATCAGGAGTTTTCTGTTTTAGCTCAGGATGTTTGTAGAAGAAAACAATGTTTTGTAAGTGTCATCCTCCAGATAACCCCCTGGTTAAAGCAACAAAATCACTGTGCACATGTTTATAAAATTTGAATAGCATGGAAGCATCACCCGGCACCTGCCCTCTTCCTGTCCCCACGCCCCCATTGGCAGTTCCTTGTGCCCCTGCATGTGATGCCAGCGCCGCGTGAGGTCCGGGTGTCCTGTGCGTTCCTTGCATAGGCTGTGTGTCCATCCTGTTTCCGCTCTGCAGGAGGGGCAGCAGCACTCGGCACTCTGTGCCATGCGGAGGATGGGTCTCCGCCGTCTTTGCCCGTCATGCGGACGGGTGGGCGTCCTCCTGTTGAATAGCCCTGACTAACAGACACTTATGTTATCTCCAGGGTTTGCTTTTGACTTTGCCCTTACAGATAATGCTAGAGTGAGGTAGAATCTTGTCATATGGTCTAGATGTGCTTTGAGGACTGTCCATGGGGTAATTCCTAGGAGAGGAGATGCCAACCAAAGGGTGGGTTATAAATCCTGATGGATGTTGCCAAATTACCCACCAGAAAGGTTGTCTGCCTCACATCCCCAACACCTAGTGCCTTGCCTCTCTCCCCGCTCCCTTATTAATAACTAGAATTATCCAGCTTTAATTTTTACCCCTGAGATAGTGGACAATGGTGTTTCACTTGCTTTCTGTTCATCTGCCTGACTCTTTCTGGGGACTGTTCATATCATTTGCTGTTTTTCTGTTGAATTGCCTTTCTCTTGTTTCTTTGCATGCACAGCTTTTATTTGTAAAAGCAGCATGATCAGATCAGAATCTTAGAAAGACGCATGAGCGATGATGTTTATAATCTTGGTGACGACACTGGTGTGATGTTAGGTAGAAGTCACAATTTCTGAAACGCCATGGGCCTCCTAAGGAGGGGAACATGTGGACTCCTTTGGGAGGTAGAAGGCATTTTAACGTGTCCTGTCTTGCTGCGTTCTTTCCTCCTGCTTAGCTTCTCCTCGAGCTTCAGGTGATCCTTTTCTACTGCCACCGTTTACGAATGTGCGAAATGGGGCTAGCGCTCCTTAACCCGCCCTTTCCTCAGGAACTTTAGGGTTGAATGGGGTAACTGTTGAATGCTTTTTACAAGACAAGGCTGTGCTGTCTTCAGTCACGTCGGTATCCCTGATTTTTGAGTTTTTATATTCTCTCCAAGGGAAACGCATGAAAAAGATTTTCCCATTAATAGGAATTTGTTCTTAGTCTTTTTAAAAACTACTCTCTCATTACTTTGAAATGTGAGTCCTGCCAACATAAAACTCAGGTGAATGCAAGCTGGGTCTCCTTTGTAGGGAAAGGTTTCCCTGTTTCAGAGGTTTGAAGTTCACTTTACTGAGTGGTAGCCACTGTACATAATCAGTAGTGTTATTCCTCTCTAACTCCTGTAAGTCCGTTTTTGGTGGGCTGCCTGTGGGGTTATTATGGAAGTTTCCACGGAAGAGCCAGGGATGTTGGGTCCAAGTTTCTCCTTCCATTGTGATGTGGTGAAAAATTTACTCCTGAATAATTTTCAGCCAGACTCCACAGAGATGGTGATTTTCTGTGTTGTCTCTTAGGCTGGAGAATTGGGAAGGGAGAAGGTTATGCTGATCTAGAATATGCCATGATGGTGTCCATGGGAGCAGTTAGCCCGGAGACGCCAGTGGTCACCATCGTCCACGACTGCCAGGTGCTTCCTGGGAAGGGGCCACTCAGATCCACCGCCATGCTCCTCTTGGGGGGTGGTATGGGATGGGGTGGGAGGGACTGGTCTCTGCCTTGGCTCTGCCGTGTCGTGAGTGGTGTCGACTGGCCGGAGCTGGATCTGGTTGCTGACAGAGCAGGCAGGCCTCATCCGGAGTGGGTTTGGGAACGTCGTACTGACGCACCGCATGGAACTGAGTAGTGCAATGGACATGATGGACATTACGAGCCGGTTCCCTGACAGCCCCTCTACCGTCTTCTGTTTGCCCAGGTCGTTGACATACCTGAAGCGCTCCTTGAGGATCACGACCTCACAGTGGACTATATTCTCACTCCAACGAGGGTCATTGCCACGGGGTGTGAGCGCCCGAAGCCAGCGGGAATCATCTGGTCAAAGGTGGGTCACTGCGTGGCCTCGAGGGAGGCTGCAGGGTCCCGTAGCCAGCTCTGGCCCATAGCCTAGAGGCGTCTCCTGTTTTACTGTGTTCTCTGTCTGGCACAGCGGCTGTCCCCAGACCTGGCATGGCTCTACGTTGGAGTCACCCGTGAGCTTTTGAACAGTTCAGCTCCTGAATCAGTCTCCAGGGATGGGCCCAAAAATCTACTTTTCGAACCGCAGGTTCTGACAAGCACTAGGTTTAAGGTCTACTGCTACAAGACACGTCGCTGTAGATGGCAGCAGTGAGCACATCCACTGGGAGGGGTAATGCCCTGGATCTGTTTGCCTCCTGCTTTTCATTTCTGAGTTGTCTTCCTACGTCCTATCACAGTAACGTCCTGTCTCAACGGTTTTCCCTTTCGCAAACCCACATTTTCTTCCTGCAGTCTGGATCTGCAGGCAGAACTAAATCAAGTGGGAGGCAGTACCCAAAGCCCTCCTCAGCTGCTGCCTTCCTGACTTTTATCTCCAGAATAGGCAGGGGCACATACTACAGGTTAGTCTGCAATAGGAGTTGGACCCAGCAGCCAGCCTTAGGCCGGCATGTCAGAGGGTTGTGACGCCGTCTGCTGGCAAGCAGCCAGAATTACTGAGCAAGCGGGTGAAGCTGTGCTTCCCTTGGAATGAGACTCGGCTAAAGAAGCGTGTTTGTCCATCTTCCCGTTCCTCAAACCTGAATCCCCCAGAGTTGGAAGGCAGCCTGCCTTTGGGGACAGGCAGTCAGCAACATCCACCTCCAAGGGTGAACGCTGAGCCGAAACGTCCTGCACGCACACAGGCGCCACAGCCAGGCGGGGTTTGGGCCGTCGGGGGTCTGCACCCCTTCCAGGTTAGCCCCTGATAAAAGCAGAGAGGAGGAGCTTGCGAGACTCAGAAGTGAGTGCCCCCTGAGCACCAGGGAGAAGGTGGTGGCACCCTTGGTGAATATTAAAACATCCCTTGGTGTCTTTCATAAGAACCTGGGTTCACCTTGCAATTCAGATCCACCGCTTCCCTGTAAGGGGAGGCTGACGCGCGGGTCATAGGGGCAAGGTGGCGTTTGCCCAGAGCTGGGAACACGGGCCTGGGGAGGTTGCACACGGGGCTGGCCACTGCGAAGCTGCAGGTCCCCGGGGGGCCTGTGCTTCATAGATGAGGGCAGATGCAGCGCACGTCAGGAGGGGTCTGGGTGGCCTCTGCAGGGAGAGAGAGATGGTGCCTTGGGGAATAGCCATGGTTACATTCTGCAGATCTTAACAAGAAAAATATAAAAATAGCAACAAATTAGGGCATCGGTCGGGTTAGACAAATATAATCGCTCTTACATAAAAAACAAACTCAGCCAAAGCTTCTGAAGACGTGGTCAGCCACACTGATGTGTGTGGGGCCTCGGGGCCCTTGCTGCTTGTTGGGACCTCAACTTCGTCCCCTCTTCCCGGAAGATGCTAACTGTTCATGAGGCCTGGGCAAGAATCTCACACTTTTAAAAGGCCGTTTCTCGTATTTGGGTCCTGTGTTCTCGGTTCTACCACCCAGTGGTCGTCCCTTTGCGTGCATCGTACGGAGGCAGTGGCTTTCCCTGGCCCCTGGGGTTTCCGTTCTGGCCTTGCTGCAGTGCAGCCAGAGTGCATTTTCGTCGACGTGGGGCAAGTCCCTGTGTTCCACTGAAGATTCGGGGAGGGGCGGGGGGAGTTTGATGCTGGGTTATGATACTATTTCAGATCGGCTATTTGGCAAACATTGGTATATCTTTCCACAGTATTCTACCCACAGACTCCTTATCATGTAGGTATTAAAATCCAAGGATTTGTCTCTTGTCTATTTTATTGGAATGTCTGGAATTGTGTTTTTCTTCTAAACACTGTAGACCACTCAAATGAAGGTTGTGAAATAAGCACAAAATGTGATGCATTTTTTTACTCCTTCTTCATACACAAAGATAGTGCAGCATTTGAATCCCTGGCCTTCGTTCCAGCTTTTCAAGCAGCGAAGGTCCTGCCCCAGCCTGGAGACCAGCCTGGTGTGGACTGTTGCCCGACTGTAGTCGCTTCCAGCAGTGGATCTCTTCGACCGGCCTTCTGAGGTCACGCGGCTTTGCTCCGCCTGTGCCTCGTGAACTTGAATACGGGAGGCCAGACGGTCTGGTGCTTGAGAGCGTGAGCTTAGAAGGTGACATTGCCCCACTTAGTCGCTGTACCTGTAACCTCGGGCGCTCCCTCTCCAAGGCCCCCATTTGTTTGTCTGTGAAACGAGGATGCTGTCAGTCCTGTCCTCGCAGGGTTGGTGGGAGGCCGCGTGTGTAAAGTGCCTCGCCCAGCGCCTGGTGAGCCTTGGCTGTCGTCATGGTCACGAACGTGAGATGGTGGTTAGTCACTGTGAGAGATCTGCCTGGAGCCTGTTGCCCAGTGTCCATCTTGGCGCTGGCGGCAGAGTCCTCACGATAGTCCTTTGGGTGGTTCACTGAGCCGAGACTGGGTCTCACCCATGTCTCTCTGTGGCTGTGTGTTGTTACGTGGGGCCTCGCCGTGCGCTTTACTGCCTCTCAGTGAAGGAGGAGGACAGAGACGCAGGAAGGAGGGAGGGAGGCCCACACACGTTCTGCTTTCCCCTCCTCCTCCTGGAAGGTACGTCTGATCTGCATGTGGGGTCCCTCTGTCCCTCAGGGTGGTCTCCTCGCCAGGTGACCTATAGAACTCAGGAGACTTGTCCGAGCTACAAGGTGCCACGACCACTCCCCTCATCCACAGGCCACCTCCCCTGAGAGCCCAGCACTCCCTGGGCCCAAGCCCCAAGTCCCCCCGGGGAGGGCAGCGCATTCCCCGTGGTCTCTGCTGGGCAGAGGACGGTGCAGGACACCTGAAGGCTGGGGTGGGGCATCGTCCTGAACCGCGGGCGCTTCTTCCAGCTCAGGTGACCGTTTGCTGTCCCTACCTGGGGACAGCCGTGTGCGAGATGATCTGTGATGGGCCGAGACCCTTGGCCCAGATGCCTGGGCTCTGGCAGAAGTAAACTGCAGGTGGCCGAGGTCCCTGACCAGCCAGCCTCCGGCAGCCCCACCCTCAGCCCGTCAGCTCCGGGGCTGCAAGTCGTGCGGTGAATCGCAGCCAAGCAGTGAAGTGTCCTGCTCAGGAGCATAGCCGCCTGCTAGACCCAGGCGCGCGTCGAGACAGCTGCGGCAGGATGGAGCCCACCATGGGACGAGGCCAGGCCTGTCCCGTGTCCCCCGGCTCCCCTCGCACAGCCCCGAGGGGCTGGACCTCTGGACAGCCGAGATCCATGCGTTTTTTATTATTTCCTGTGAGCTCGATTGAGGCAGAGGGAGGGTAAAGGACCGACTTTAGGAATACCCTGGAGACGTGGGCAGACCGCGGGGTGTGGCTGCAGGTCCGGAGAAACAGCTGTCCTGGAGGGGCCCAGGGCACCCACAAGACTGTGCCCACCCCCTGGCACAGCCACAGGTCGAGCGACTGCACCCCGTGCTCCCCTCAGTAACTGCCGTAAAGGTATCGTCCTGCTTCCCGGGGATGGCAGCGTGACACCATGGACCAAAATCTGGGTGTCTCACTTTCTCAGCTCAGCTCATTTTCTCCTTAATTAAGGAAATGGGATTCTGCCAGGGTTGTTCTCGTGTTTAGACTCAAAGAAACAGGTCATTTTGTAGCTTCCACAGCATGGCCTCTTTACCCTGCACAGCCTGTCTGGGAGGGTGTTCTCCGATGGTCACAACGTGCTGCATTGATCGCCTTCTTGAGAATGACAGACTCCTCAAGAAAAAGGGTTTGGGGAAAGGAGCTCGTCTGAGGGGCCGCAGCCCTGGGAACTGAAGCTCAGCTTCAGATCCCACATAAACGCGCATTCTCTGGAAGCAACAGCTGAATGAACTGACACCTACCTGCAATGGGGCCAGCGGGGTAGGAGGGCTGCCAGATGCTTTCATCTTAAAACAATTACTGTATTTGACCCAATAGCTCACCTTCTGGGAATCTGTCCTAGGGAAATATTTATAAATTCAGGTGAAGGTTGATTTGTATGTATTCAGGTCTAAGGCAGTGCCTCAAAATAGGGGGAAAGGTTAGTCACTTAAACACCAACCCAACAGTTCAAGTGCACACAGTGATATTTGATGGCCTGAGAAGATGCTCCTGGGGTAATACGTATCAAGTGGAAAAAGCAGAATATAAATTTATATGTTTGATATGTAATTTTGTGTTCTCATTATGTTAAAATGTGCATAGAAAATAGATGGAAAGAAATATACCAGAATATTAGCTAGTTATCTCTGCGAGGTAGGGTTTCAGATTTCTTTTCTCCTTTTCCCCCCAACATTTCCCACAGCAAGCACATGCTACTTTCCCAATCAAACTCATCAGTGGAGAAGACAGCAGATTTGGTAACCATCTTCCAAGCTGGACTTTCATCCTAGCTGTGTTTGAATCTGGTTTCACAGCATTAAGCTGTATAGTCTCTGTTCCCAGTGCACTCAGAGGTGGTAAAGATGAGAGTTCAAGGTCCACCGGTTCTTAGAATTCGTGTGCTTGTGTATGTGAGCTTGTGTCCACTGCTCTGTCCAACATGTTTGTGCAAAGCTTATGCCTGCTCTTCCCCAAGGGGCTGATGTTCTGGGATATGGAACACCATGGACACCAGAAAATAACAATGTTTTTCACTATTTTTTTTCCTGAGGAAGATTCACCCTGAGCTAACATCTGTGCCAGTCTTCCTCTGTTTTGTATGTGGGATACCTCCACAGCATGGCCGACGAGTGGTGTGTGTCCGTGCCTGGGATCTGAACCCACAAACCTGGGACGCTGAAGTAGAGTGCACAAATGTAACCACTATGCCATGGGGCCGGCCCCTGCTAAGTAATTTGTACTGACTTCCATGCCGCTCCAAGTAGCCTGTCTCTTCCTGACACTGGGGCACCGTCCAATTCAGTGATGGTGTGGTCATTGCCCCTGCCTGTCCTTCAAGGGGCAAACCTATGGAGACTTCTGTTAAGTGGCACCTTTGATCAGCTGTATGCAACAAGGTGTCTTCAGTGAGCTGCATTATGATTGAGACACTGTGGTTAGGAAGGGAATAGCTGCCTCCGGGCGTGGGTGCCCTGCAGGTGCTGGGCTCTGCCCCTAAGCATGCCTCGTCCTGGAGTCATTTCACCTTGGTCATCTGGAGGTACCCAAACGCATTTCCGTCAGTGAATAAGCTTTAATCTCACGCAAGAGAACTGACAATCGGTGCCTAAGTTCTACTTCACAGAAAACCCCAGTGTTTCTGTTTATCTTTGCCAGCAGCTGCTCAAACACATTGTAGCATTTTAGACCCAGAGGCACTTTAAAGATCATCTGTGCCAGTCTCCTTACCTTCTGGTCGAGGACAGTGAGAGGCAGGAAGAAGAGTGACTTGCCCACGATTGTAAAACCAGTGTGTAGCGGAGGTATGGTTACAGCTCGCGTCTCTTCCTCTTGCGTTGGCAGCAGACACCTTGAGAGTCTGAGTTCTCATCTGTATTAGACTTATCGCATGCTTCTAGGGGACAAGTCTGTAAATTTCATCTTGAAAGAGAATACGTATTTATAAATGACACCTGTACGCCTCCGTGAAGAGTGGTTGTAGCATATGAAAGAAAATCAAATTTGCTTTATATGATTTTTTAAATGGAATGATTAGTTACAGAAGGGCAGAAATATTTTTTTCTGTTTGATTAACAAGCAAAATCTTCCATTTCGCATGGCAAATTGACAAAACGTAACAAATCTTGCTAATTGTCAACCAGGAGAAACCGAGCACTGCCCCCGTGGCCCTGTCCCCAGCAAGAGCCCCCCATCCTGTGGGCTCACAGAGGCCTTTCTGTCTGTGGGGACAGCAACCAACCAAGGCTGGCCCGCAGAGTCCAGAAATGGCAAACAACCGGGCAAGTGGCAAAAGCCAGCTCCTGCTCAGGGAGATTTTTCCATTGGACTTGTCGGGGAGTGTGGAAGGGGGGCTGACCTCGCTCCCGAAACGACCGTTTCCATTTCTGCAGACCCGTCTGCCTCGGCCGGGTGTGCCGCGGCCGTTCCATAAGTTCGTACTGTGGTACACGTTTTCACGATCCTCTGGCTCATTGGTTGGCGCGTGCACCGGCTCGGGATGAAGCGGCTCCCCGTGCTGTGCGCCGGAGCGTGTGTTTCTGCGTCACACGACGTGTTTCAGAATGGATTTCTGCTGCCTGGGTATGGAGCCTTGTTTCCTGACACTTCCTTCTGCCCCAGGGAGCCCTGTGGTTCCGCCGGCAGAAACACCTGGGAGTCACGGCCCTGCAGGGTGGCCCCTGGCCCAGAGCTCGAGCGGGCGCTGTGCCTCCCGGGAGGCACGCCTCGGGGCTCCCACAGCCGCGCTCGGAGTGGAGTAACGTGTAGTTCTTTCACTTTACTCACACTTTGTCTCTGACTGTAATCGCAGCTTGAATTTTCTCATCCTTTCTGAATACTAGGTGTAGTAACTGAAGAAATCCTGAAGAATCTAATGATGCCCAGTTCGATCTGTTTTTAACTATTCTGACAGATAAGGAGGTAGACCAGGGGCTCGGGAAGGAGCTGTTGGCTGGACTTGGATCACCTTTGGGTTCTTTGGGACCCAGAGCTCCAGGATGCTGGTCTGTGGGTACAGTCACCTGCGGATGAATCGATTGAAAAACGTTGCAGAGGGTGAAAGGGAAAACTTCTTTTTGATTATACAAGAGCAGTCACATCTTGTGACTGTCTCCATGGCATAGACGTGATGGTTCTTTGTTTTTTCTTTGCGTCTGAACAATGGGAAACATTAGAAGGAGCGGGCCTGGCTTTGCGTCCTTCTCTGGCAGCTGAGTCTGTCCCGCCCGAAGACCAGAGTGGACGGGTGCCGCCGCGGAGGCTCCTGCTGCGTGCGGCAGTGCGGGGAGCGAGGGCAGCGACGGTGGGGGGCCCTGACCCACAGAGGAGGCTTTGCTGAGGTGGGGAGCATCCTCTCCTCCGCACCAGGAGAGAGCCACGTCCTAAATCAATGCGCACTAGCAGCCTTGAGGCTTGCGAGAAGGCAAAGCACTGTTCTGTGTTTGTGTTTCTCTAAATCTTACCTGACTCATTGCGTCTTAGCGGGGGCTCGTGTGGCTCCTGTGGTTTGGAGGCCCATGAACAGACCTTGGGAAGTTGTACACATAATTGTGGGGAGCCCCTCTTGAGAAGGAACCCCAGCTTCTCTCCGAGGTCCCTGATTCCTGCCGAGGATAAGAACCATCGCTCCAAGTTACATTTGATCCTGAAAATAACGAGACCATTGATACTAGTGAACTGTTTAATTTTGTAGAAAAATTGTCCCTGTCTACCTTGTGTGCTGATCCGTATTCTGACAGACCCACGTCTGTGGGAAGCCCCGAGTTGGGACCATTGCTTGCCTCTTGGTAACTATGATCATTTACAAGCTTTGAGCCCAAAAGAAACACAGAAAGCATCTCTATAGAAAGAATTTTCAGAAAGTACAAACCAGTGTCTTTCTCTTCCTCTTCTGCCGTGTGATTCCTCCAACAACGTGAGACCAACCCTGCCCTCGGCTCAGTTATCCAGATGCCGCCTGAGCCTGTGGGCAGCCCCCAGCACACCGCCCCCGGGATGGAGGCTGCAGTCTCATTCCGGGCTGGATGGAGCCGATGCCAGCTGTTCACCCTGGCCGAGCCTCCCGTGCCGGGCTTCTCATGCCGCCCGGTTGTGGCAGGTTTCGGGGAATGCTTGGATCAGACCTGCGGATAGAAGTCCCCTTCCTTGGAACTTAACCTTTTGCGCAGTAGTCATTATGTTGTAGCTTGATGGCCCGTTGCTAGACATCTTTGCAAAGGTGGCGTTCTAGTTCAGGTTCCCTTGCTTGCGCTTTCTCAGCAAACCTTGGAAGCTCCAGTTGCTGAGATGCGCTCCTTCAGTGGAGGGGTGGAGACGAGGGGGAGGTGAGCCCTGTGAATCTGTTAAAGACTGCACCCCACCCAAAGGGATAGGGAGGGGGCAGGCGTGAGGCGGGGACCCCCAGTATCCTGTGGGTCACCAGGTCCATCACAGCCCTCATTCTAGTGACAAGCTGGGGGGTCAAAGCTCCTGGTTAGGACAGTGGGGGTCCCACTTCCCAGAGGGCCAGGCTGGGCCATTCATCGTCTACTCCTCTGGTGCAGTGTGGCAGGTGGAGGCTGCTCACGAGAGCACCTGGCAGAGGCCCCCTGTGACTTCACTTCCCCCTCCTGTGTGATCATGTCGTGGTCCCCTGTGGACACCCTGAGAATAGCCAGGCTGTTTTACTCTTTCAGATCAGCTGTGAGATGATGGAGAAAATCCCAGTACTGAGGAGCCTTCGCAGCCGAGAGAAGCAGGCTGGGAAGGATGTCAGCCTGCAGGATGAGCCACGGGACCTGGACACCAGCCGCCTGCAGACGGCGCCACTGCGTGCACTCAGGGGACCCCAGGCCCTACCCCTAGCCACGCAGCGGGAAGACGTGCCTGCTGACACTGTTTACGTTGGGAACCTCCCCCGGGATGCCCGAGTGAGCGAGCTGAAGACGGCCCTCAGAGCCCGTGGCGCGGCCCCCCTGCGGCTCAGCTGGCAGGGGCCACAGCGCAGGGCCTTCCTCCACTACCCGGACGCCGCCTCAGCCCAGCAGGCCGTCTCCTGCCTGCAGGACTTACGCCTGGGTGCCAACAGCCTGAGGGTGGCACTGGCCAGGCAGCAGAGGCCCAGTGACTTGGTGGACACCCGCCCTGGAGAACCGCACCCTAACCGTCGCCCGGCCGTCGCTGACCTATGACAATGCCCTGCTCCAGTCCCCGTGGAGCTTCAGCGGCCCACGGAGCAGGACACGCAGAGCTGTGGCTGCATGAGCCTTTCCTAGGGAGTCACAGCCTTCGTTACTGCCTGGCAGTCTCCTGATGGGTGGGGAGTGAGCAGTGACACCCTTCCCACGTGCGGGAGGCTGGGAACCCAGTGTGTGCAGGCTCTAGTTTATCTCGGTCCTTTGGCCAGCCGGGTGGTATAGACCTGTGGCTCTCTCCGTAGAGACAGCAGTTCGGAGGGTTCAGGGGGTTGAGTGAGCAATAAACAAGTGGGAGTAAGTGGTGACAGCCATTTGGGAGAGTGCGTGCTCTGGATTTGAGGGGAGTGGGAATTAAGAGGAACAGAGGATCCTGACAGGAGAGGCCCTGGCAGGGACCAAGTGCAGGAGCACAGAGGGCCAAAACCAGAAAATGCCCTCGTGTGCTTGGCTCCTTGGCTGCCACTGCTGGAGGGGGCTGTGTGCAAACTGCAGAAGCCAGGTAGTCAGTCCCCTGGGTACAAACTGCTTGTCACCACTCAGTCCTAGTGTCAGAGATGAGAGTCGGTCCCGCATGGAGCCTGGGTCGAACGGGTCCCACCTCCGTCCCCACCTTACCTTTCCAGCCAGCCCACCCTCTGGGTGAGCCCCCGCCGCTCTCAGCCAGCTGTCCTCACGCAGCAGGAAGCTCTGCCCCTGGGAGACACTGGCTTCCGAAGACGCATTGTCCCGGCCTACGTCGTAGACAGAGTCTTACACACACACTCATGCGTGCCCAGTGCCTGATGTGTTCTGGGTTTTTCCTCCAGTCCTCGGTTCCTAAAAAACACGCTGGATTTTGGCTGAACTGTGCTTTCTAAACAGAAGCACTTTTGCAGTTGATCCTGGGCAAAAAGTCAAAATAAGCATTTAAGTGGAGATTTTATTTTTTTCACATGTATATACATTGGAAACTTTAACTTTTTCGCCAAGGGTCTTACTGAGCATGTTTTAAGTGCATTATTTGCCTCAAGAGGGCAGGCCTTGCACGGGCTTTCAAGAAAACGTTGTCAAGGCCATCAGTCTCCCTTTGAGACGGTGTTTTCTCATTGGTTTCACAGTGAAAATACTGTGGAGACTTCAGACAGAAAATCTGTCCTAAGATTTGCTCATTAAACGCACTCCTTTTCTAAGTTGCTGTGAATTAAACGAGCCTGGGGCCTCTCGGCTCCCTCTTTCTCGGCCTGAACCGTCCGTGCCCGTCCGCACAGCTGGTCCTCGTGGTGTTTTTGTCCCTTGGCGTTCAGCTCGGGTGTCAGAGGCCCACTCACCCCCCCCACCCAGAGCAGCGAGCTGACCATCATAACCCCTCACTCTGGTTTCTGTCTTCTTTTTTCCAAAACCTGTCCCATACTTGACGTGTTCTGGTTTAGTTTTTGTTGACTTTTCTAGCGTTGATTTGCCACCATTAGAGGGAAAAACTGGATCCTGATCCCACCACAGGGAGCCCTGCATGCGGCCTTGCCTGCCGCCACCTGCCTGAGACCGCGGAGTCCTGCACTCAGTGATGACCCCTCCCGGTTAAGCCAGGTCTCCTGGGTTCCCTGTCGCCTGCAGCCAGAATAGTCCAGATACATTGATATACAGATAATACGGATCAGTTTATCATTTTGGTATTGTGGAAAATAGATTAGTATAAGGAAAACTAAAGAGTGAGCGCCTGAGCGGAGACCCCGGATGGACCAGCCGCAGCCTTTCCTGCTCCTTCCTGCCTCGGGCAGTCCTGGGAGGGGTGGTGCATCCCAGGGCTGCCTGCCAGATTACAAGGCAGTGCTCAGTGGCCCCGCTTTTTGTTCCCACACCTCTTGAGTATTGTCAGCATCGTCGTCGTAAAATTCATGATGAGGGAAAGTCACGGGCAATGGCCACCTGACGAGTGCTGAGCATCTGCGGGCCCTCCACGGGGAGCTGTCTGATGCCTGGGCCCGTCCTCTACTTGCCTGCGTGGTGGGTGGCTTTGCCAGCGGGCGGGGAGGAGACTCCTGCCGAATGTGCAGCTGCCCAGTTCCCAGCAGCTCACCCCTCGCTCTACACAGTGAGCGCTGCACCCCGGGAGCCCGGAGCCCTGTCCCACTGCGTCTCTGCCCCCAGTTCCAGTGCTGTGGGCAAGGCACGTAGCCTGTCTGGGTTTTAGCTTCCTCACCTTTAGCACAGAAGGGTTGAACTTGATTTCTAAGGCCCAGCCAGTTCTAACAGCCTGTGTGTCTCTTTTGAGGCCCACTGCACACCATCACTTAGACTGTTTTCTGTTTATAAAATAAACACCCATTCTGGAAATTTTGGCATGTCAGAAGTATAGATCACCCCACCACTTAAGCAGCCTTGACATCGCCCCTTACTTATTTCCAGTCTTTCTTCTGTGTGGTTTTAAACAACGTGTGCTTCAGAATCACACAGATTTTGGCTGGGAGCATCAGTTTTGCCACCATTTGGTATGGGAGGTCCTTAATCGCTGAACTTCCATGTGCTCGTCTGTAGATGGGCATAGCAACAGTACCCCCTGGAGATTTGTGGGGGTTAGATGACATAGCGCCTTGAAAGTTCATGGATTGCACGTGGCAAGTGCTCTGACCGTGGGCTCACTGTCGAGGGCACTGGGGCCCGGCTGCTCATACACCCCACTGATCGCCTCTCAGATGGAGCAGGGCAGCTCCAAGGGGGGCAGACCTTGGGACTGCCCCAGAGTGCCCATCTGATGGCCTTGTGTCCAGAACAAGGGTCTGAGGCAGCACCCATAGCAGGCCCTGGGCTCGGGCATCAGCGATGGTGGTGACGGCCCTGGAGCCATTTCTCAGGTGAGAAAGTTGTCATGAACACTGAAACCTGGTGGAAGAGGGCAGTGGTGACAGCGGCTCTGAGCTTGCTGGAGAGCATCTCAGGAGGGGGTGGGTCAGCACAGCAGCTGGAAAAGCCTGGAAGCAGCGGGTAATCCTGCTCGAGAGGGAGGCTGGGTGTCATGGGGTCTGGCCTCTGGCTTATGGGTTTCACCCAAGACAGAAGAAGGTGCGCACAACTATGTTCCCCTGCCTGAGGAGCCGCCTGTACGTGGCGTGGTCGTTGGACTGGCTGGTTTGAGATCGGAGCGTCTGTGACGGCGCTCAAGTGAAAAGGCAGGACCTATGGGCGCCGGCTGTGTGCTCCGAAAGACACACCCTGAGCGCTGCTGAAGACACCTTCGGAAGGCCATCTCGGAGTTGAAGGACCTGACACACCATCAAGGTGGGAAGGAAGAGCATTTGTGAGAAAGATTTACTCCTGGGCACGGAAGTAAACTTCAGGCAACATCTGCTCTGTGCTCCTGAGAAACCTGAGAAGATAGTTTCCACTTTTCTGTGAAAAAGTGTCAAATGTTGCCCTTTTCTGCTCTGATCTCGAAATACACAGGGAATGGTGGGCTCTCAAATTAAAAGTCCCACGGTCAACATGCTCCAAAGAGAGCTTGCCAAAAGTAGGCCAAAATGAAAAGAGCTGAGCAGGATAGTAAAGGTATTTTTAAAAAGAAAAATGTGTGAGTATAACATTGGCAGCTGTATTAGAAGATGTGATGTGGAGGAGAGAGAAGAAAGACAGCAAGCAGGAGAGAGAATGGAAAAGAGACAATGGCGAGCGACGGCCAACAGGAGGCAAGAGCACGTGACAATCAAAGCCACAGAAGAGCGCCCCTCGGCTGCGGAAGGCAGCATCGGAGCACGGACTTCTTCAGCCTGCGTGTACTTCCCATAACAGGATGCTGGAGTGGGGAGGAATTCACCAGCACCGCCAACCCAGGCCCTCACCTACGCATGGGAGCAGACGTTGAGTCACCAATCATTTGAGGAAAATCAGCAACTCAGAACAGTATCTAACCCTTGGGGAAATGTCAGAACAGGAATCAGAAGGTAAGTAGAAAGCCATCGTATCCATCAAACAGAAAAACTAGTGAGAAAGAAAAAAACACTTTTTAGAAAATAACGTAGAATAAACTTAGGAGTCAAGCTGAAAGCAGACGACATAGACGCAGCGAGTCAGAAGATTAAGCCACGTGATTCTTCCTGACACCAGTGCAAAGGGGCTGGAGACGACAGGTATGAAACAGCGGGCAAGTAATTGAATTGAAACTCTCGTCAGCTGGAGACAGATTTGACCTGAGATTGAAGATGTCCTCAAAGTCCAAAACGAGGGAAGCAGATAAATGAGTGTCCTTCTCATCCAGTGTCAGTAACTGGTTGAAAGCTTCGTTTTTAATGTAGTAACAACAAAAACTGCTAAGTACTTGGGGATACACCTCGTGGCAGTCCAGAGCTCATATGGATAGAATTACAACACTTTCCGGAAAAAGATGAGAGCTGAATAGAGAGACGTGCTGTGTTCTAGGTGGAAGGCTCAACATCGTGAAGACGGTAAGACACTCTATAGCTGACAGTCAAAATCCCAACAGGGTTTGTTCACGACACTCAATAAGGTGGACCGTAATCGCTCAAGGATAGTGAAGTGCGAGGAAAAGGGGTCTGCCCTCTGGGTGTCAAGCTACTACACGGCTTCAGTACTTAGAGCAGGATGGCGTCAGCAAATCGGCACATCGGCGGAACAGAATAGAAAGTTCCAAAGCAGGCGGGGATCTAGAACATAAGAGTAATTTCAGAGGGGGAAGGGTTTGTTTAAGAAATGGAGTGAGATGTACCGGCCGTTGTTTGAAGGGTGAATCAATCAACTCGGGTTCCTGAATCATCCCACACAGAACAGTGAGACCCGGTGCCATCAAGTGTCTAAACAGACAGAGAAGCAGAAAGGAGTTTGGCGATAGTGCAGGAGGAGGCTTCTAGTGTCGGGATAGGGACGGGCTTCCTGAGCGGGACTCGGAATGTGAGGAGGAACTGATTGCTTGGTCCCCCTTAGGATGTCGGGTTTTGATGGTACGGAATCCACATGAGCCTCCAGGAGGCGCTCGCTGAGGAGCCCTCCCAGGAGCAGAGTCAGCGAGTGCGTCCTGGGCCGTTACTCAGCATCACCCTTGTTGACGCTGCCAAGTGCAGCCCATAAAGAACCTCTTAACTTCAGCTGTACAAAAACGTGGCCCGCGAATCTGCTCCCCGGAGTCGGCTGATAAAGCCGCAGGCGTAGACGACTCGGCCTCTCGGTGGTGCCTGGGGACGGGCACCGATTCCTGGCGGAGGAGGGGGAAGCTGATAGCACAATGCAGTTTATCGTCCGGAAAAGAATTCCGTCTTCAGGAGGAAACCCCAACTCCTGGGTGTTCAGTCTCTTCCACCTTCCTTCCTTGCTCCCATCTTCCCTAAAGGCCACCACACGGCCCGATGAAATGGGTGGGACACGCGGCTGGCCGGCCGGACAAGACCGAGGCCTCTTTCCTCCGTTGCCTGATTGAGCAGCAGAGCCGTGATGCAGGCACTGAAGCGCCAGGGCTCCGCAGTGACACTGCAGGGCTTCTGCACCGATGGTCTCTGTGCGGCGGCACCTGAGCGATGCAAGTAGCGCAGAAGTGTTTTCCCAGAGAGATAAAGAGCAGCAGTGGTCCTGGGAGAAGTCCCCCGAACCCTTGTTCTCCATTCGAAGTATTTCACTCAGGGACCCAGCTCTGCTGTTGGTTGAAAAGACTGTGTGCATAGGGTTCCCAGCATGCCTCAAAGTGATGAGAACATGACGGCGGGAGAGGACTCTTAAGGACAAGCGTGATAGAATGTTCAGGAAATGCCAGGCAAAGAGCAGTCCCACCCCCTCGGAGACCATGGTAATTTCCGTGTGCTCTTTCCTAATATTCGTCACTCTGGGTAGGTGACTTCACTTCGTTTTACTTAAATCGTTTTGGGAATGATGGGCAGGATAATTGTTCCTTCCATTTGTCTCCCACTTCTAAAATCAACCTCCAGAACGCTCAAGGCGGGGCTGGGGCGGGTCCCTCTATACACACAGGTGAGCATGTCCCTCCTCGTCCTCGGCGGCTGGCTGCCCATGCGGACTAGCACGTGTCACGTGCTCCCTGTGGGCCAGGCCCCAGCACACACCGTCTCAGCCCCGTGAAGTGGGAAACGATGCTCTCCCCACTTTCGCAAATGAGAAGACTGAGGCGGCTCAGGAGGAAGGGACTCCCCCACCCGACGCCACAGCCGGTTCTGGCAGAGCTGAGCCCGTAGAG